TTCTGTCATTTGGCGTCCTGCAGATGTGCAGGGCTGCTGTCCATCCACCCCTTGTTTGCACTGAAGACAAAATTACCTTGAGGTTTTTGCAGCTCTTCATTAAGTATTTTACATCATAGATAGATGGGAAGAAAAGGTTCAAGATATGGAAAAATTCATGTTCCTCTTCAGGTAACCTGGAATCTGTCAACAGCTTCACCATGTAGCCGAAGTCATAACCACTGAAAACAAACATAAAGAACCTGACAAACACCTATATTCAGCTGGTATTAGTGTTACATCAGTTGTAAGAGGGTGTTTTTCTATACTTACAGCCGCCTTTTCCACAGAGGAAGCAAAAGAACTTGCAAGCAGCACACGCACAAAATGCAGATCAAAATAGGTGCTGATATAAAATGAAGTACCAGCGTGCTTAAAGTTGGCCTTTACAATTTCAAACTTACATTAAGAACTGCACAGCTGCTAAAATTCATGTCATTAAAATCCGTGTCAGACTCCATGGTCCAAAGCAGCAGGATTTAAGCCAAAAAGAGGCATCTTGCTCAGTAGCACCAGTGATCATCAGACCTACCTGTGAAACGACAGCCACTTCACACTGTCACTAAGGACGACCCCTGAAGTCATGAGCAGCTCAGCAAAATGCAGGGTATCGATCCCTTCTTCCTCATGCTTCTGGAACTGCAGCCCAGAGCTTGCAAGGAGGTCTATGGAATCCTGAGAGTACATATCCTCCCTGAAGGAGAAAAGCAGAGCTCTGTAGTCGGCTCATTTCAGAAAGAATTCCCACACGTCGCATTTGGAAAATCAGAGCAACCTGCAGGCTGAGGCTGTCCACCTCTGAGCTCCATTGGGTGTCTCTACAAAGCTCCAATCACTTTTAATACCATTCATTACTCTTACACATTTAACAAGATATTCTACAACCTTAACCGAATATCAATTCTGCTGCTACTGCCAAATCTGAAGAATGCACCTCCATAGAACTGACACTGTGAAAGATATCTCTGAGGTAATGGAAGTGCCAGATGATGGGAGAGAAAAGGGAAGTCATCCCAAAGAGGAAGACACAGACCTCTAAAGCAGCAAGCACCACTGCTGTGTTTTATTTGTCACATGACAGCACTATATTACCTTATTATTATCTGCAATGCTATCTTAGAGACTAAACAAAATTGCATAACGCTTGACTACAGAGATGAGTGTTGATAAGGCTGGAGAAGAGCTGAGCAGACACCCGAGTTTTATACTCCTAAGCTCCATCTGGAGGTGGGGGACATGACAACACAGAACAAAACTCATACCAAACATGATAATTTAGAGTCAAATAGGGTTCACAGCATCAAAACCTCTTTGTTATGACTTAAATGCTTTTAAAAGGCTGAGAGAGTTGTGCAAGTAAACACTGCAACTTCTGTTTTCAAGAGCAGTATGATCAGCTTATATGAACAGTTTTTTGGTAATGTTCTGTTTCACAGTAATACTGATTCCCAAAGAAATGCACTTTTGCCAGAGAAACTTTCTCTATTTCCAGGCAGCTTTTGGGGCATAGATGCCAAACTTCTCTTTATAATCACACAGGAAGAGATAAATAAACTTGCTTCAACTGCAGCCCAGGAAACGATAGTGTGGAAGAATCAAGAAGTGCCACACTCACTTTGACAAGGTTGATTCTCCCAAACACGTGTGATAATTCCACCTATGCTTTTTCCTTTAGATACTTTAGCAAAGCTCTGTAAAGGGGCTTTTTCCTTTTTGCTGAAAATTGCACGTCCACTTTTATTTAGCAGAAAGACACAGATTTGCACTGAATCGATTACATGAAATATATGGAAATATATAAAAACCACCTAAAGTTTCAAATCATAACATTATTCCAGAAATACAATTCCTGTCATGCCAAAACTGAGCCTCGCATGATCTGCTCTGGAATCTCAATTTTCAATGCTCAGAACCAACCAGTGATGAGGAACAAATGGATTTCTGCATTTTCCAAAGACAAGCACACGGCAGCACTGGAAGCAGCCATTGCTCCCTGGCACAGAAGACTCACGTAAGGTTGAATTTGAAGTTGAACTGCCAGGTGTTGATCCCAGAAGGATATTCTCCCTTCTCATTTGTGAAAGTCAGGCCCAGCTGGATAATTTTCAGAAGATCAACATTACACCGAAGAAGCTGATACTGATAGTCAATGGAACTGCGGAATTCACCAATGGGCCTTACAACAACCCCAGGAAACTCCGTGTCCTGGAAAAGAAGAGGAAATCTTATCCCACATTCTGGCAGGATTGTACTCAGTTCCATACCTGCAGGTCTCAATACTGCAATCTGTGAGTCCTTCTATTAAAAACACTTATTTTTCATCCCATTTCATATTCTTGTATGGGCTTCAAACCGCTACAAGTCAGAACTAAAAGAAAACCTACATCATGTGTCAGCCGACTGCACTCATTCACTTCTCACTGGTAACCTTTCCTGTGGCTTTGTTTCAAAACAAACACGTCACAGAATCACCCAGTATGAGTTACTGCATCACTTAAGCATCTCTTACTCCCAAGGGCCTACCCCTCTTATTTTCCCCATATCTACTGAAAATGATTTATTTAAAAATACACATATAGCATTCTTTCAAGTTCCAAATGTAAGTTAAATCCAGCACTCTCACCAGTACAGATCATGGTAACACCATGGTAACAACAACAATACAGATCACGGTAAACTTTGTAGTTATTAAAAAAAAAAAAAATAGCCAATACTACACTGATAGAAATTGCTGCAAATCAAGACAGACTTTAACAACAAAGCGACCATACTAATTTCTACTCTCAAGTCAAATAGCATCAACAGATAGATAGACTACAGCAATACTACAATAGATAGACTACAGCACACAAAAACTTTCAGAGGATCCAGTACATAAGAGAATTTCTCCCTTGCACGTCTTCCTGTACCCACTCTTACAGCACAGCAATTACAACAGGCAAACAGGCCAGAAAGAGATGAAACACAAAGCATATTGAAGCAAGGCATTCATTTCCAATCAACATACAATTAAATATATACATATATGTTTACTGTTTACTTCACAACTTTGTTCTGCGCTGAATTCTATGCACACTGAAGGCACGTGTATTTCTATGTCATGCTTTTATTACAGAATTCTCTCCTATCTTTGAGTTTAGCATCCTCAGTCAAAGCTGTCGTAACTGAAGAGTACCATAACTCAGTTGGCTGTGTGAGTGCCTGGCTCCTGCCAAGCAGATAGAGACTTTAAGAGCAGAAAGGGATTCTTCCCATCTGGAGGATATTCTGCTGCTCTGAAATAAAACTTCCTGAAATGTGCTGTCATATCAACAGCCAGAATATTCTTCTGGAACAACCAACACATGAGCACGCTAAGAAGGAGCCACCGCTGCTAACAAGTTGTCACTTGGAGGTTTCTTCTCCTACAGTTTCCTGCCAATTTTCCAAAACGGGCAAGAAATTTACAGGACAAATATGCTGGGGAACCTAAAGATTTGTACACCTGAACGCCCCACCTTCTACTGTACAAACTAATACACGCTGATATTCAATTAATTCCCTTTTCTAAGGTGGTCTCTCCCTTCTCCGGCTTTCCATCAAACCAGAACGAAGACAAGACACACTATGTTCTGGTATGTCTCTCTAGTGATGAGTTTCCTAATATTTCACCAATTAACTGCTATTTTTGTTTGGTAACAGATGAGGGAAATCACTTTTCACTCTAGAAGCACCACAGAATCATCGACATTGGAAAAGATCTCTTGGTCCAACTATCATGTGCCCCTATTTCCCGAATAAGACAAACAGGTCAAGCACGAAGCATTTACCATTGCGATGTAGCTGTAACTCAGCACAATCTCTCGGATTTTCCTCATCTCTTCCTCCAGGTTGTTGGCCCACACCTCACAGATCACCTGGCTGTTCTCCGCCAGGGCTGCTGGCATCCTGCCGGGCCCAGGGCACAGCCAGCTCCCCCCGCCTTCAGATGGCAGCGTACAGCCGCAAGCCGCGCGATCTAATCAGCGTGCTGCAGCGAACAGACGGAAGGGCTTGAAAAAAGAGCTACAAAAAGGAACGAGCCAGCACGGTATGGCGCGCCTCCGCGGCATCACCGCAGCCCCACTTCCGCGGGGCTCAGCGGCCTCCGCCAACGGCCGCCCGAGGCAGCCGGCAACGAACAGCGGCCCCAGAGCCGCGCCGGCCCCGGCGGGAGCGCGCCTGGCCCCGCAGCCCGCGCGCCGCGCGCGCCCCCACGAGCCGCGCTGCCTCAGGGCAGAGGCCCACCAGCCACCGCCGCCCTGCGCCGCGAGGGGCCCCGCACCTGCTAGAGCCCGCCGAGCCCCGCCGCGCCGCCTCCCGCGGGCCTCCCGAGCCCCGCCCGTCCCCCACCGCTCGTCCGCTCCGCCGCTCCCCATCGCTTTCCCCTCCCCCAAGCGCTACCTGCCCGGAAGCTGGGGCCGGGCCTCTCGCCTCCGCGCAGGCGCGATGACGCCTCCGGCTGAGGCGGGATTTCCGGGTTGCCGCCCGGCTCTCGCGAGAGTTATGGCAAAGCCGCAGCGGCGCGCGGTGCGGTACGTTGCGGCTCGCGCCTGGCGCGCGCTCCCGCGGAGGGGACGGAAACGGAGGGGGCGGGGAAGGCGGAGCGCCACGCGGGGTTCTGCCCGCGGCGCGCATGCGCAAAGCCGTGTCCTTGTCGTGCGCCCCGCCCGGCCGTGGGCTCGCGGCGCGAAGTGCGTGACGTGGCGGCGCGTGCTGTTACGTGGCGTGCTGTAATGCAGCGTGCTGTTACTGCTGTATTGCAGCGTGCTGCTATTGCTGTAATGCAGCGTGCTGTTACTGCTGTTATTGCAGCGTGCTGCTATTGCTGTAATGCAGCGTGCTGTTAATACAGCGTGCTGCTATTGCTGTAATGCAGCGTGCTGTTAATACAGCGTGCTGTTATTGCAGCGTGCTGCTATTGCTGTAATGCAGCGTGCTGTTACTGCTGTTATTGCAGCGTGCTGCTATTGCTGTTACGCGGCGTGCTGCACGCTCGGGTGTCCGGGATGTGCTGCTTGTCCGTGCTCAGGAGCCGCTGTCTGACTGCTCACGGCTGTTATTCCGCATTTCTGCTGCTGCTTCGGAGCGGTTGTCTGTGCACCTATGGGTTCATTTCCCCGCGTGCCCTCAGCTGACTGCTCACCATTTCCATAAAAGTACCCAGGAAAACACCTTGGCAGCTCTTACACATCAGGCATTGTTCAGCGCCTCGGCTTTAGTCCTCATACCTCAGCAGAAAAAGCTCTGACAGTGCTGCTTTGCTAAAGGCTGCTCTCTTATCGATTAACCTTGGAGCTGTCAGCATTCTGAAGTTTATTTTGATTCGCCGTTTATCTCCACGGTCGATAGTTGGCGTTTTGCATGCTCGGCTCGGATCTGCGGTCGCTGCTGTAATGTATGCCACGTGCTGCATTTGCAGAAAGGTCTCTGTCACCTCTAGCAAAGAGCAAATCCCATTCTTGCATTGCTCAGAGCTCAGCCTTTGTCTCACACTGCAGTGTTTTTGGTGGAGGTGCAGCTCAGGGCACAGCCTGGCCAGCGAACAGCTGTGTGTTCAGTGCTGTCCCGTGACCCGAACTGCGGTAGAAAGCAAACGAAGACATCCTTTAAACTAATCTTAGAGGCTGTAAATCCTTCAGATAGAACCCATATCTGAATTGGACGGAGGTTAAAAAGAAACTGACATCCATGCAGTTCACTCTTATCACCTACTTTAGCATATTAGATTAACAGTGCTACCAGAGCGAGACCAAGTCCAAATAACATGCTGGACAACCTTTATTCTCTTGAAATGCCAATTTTCACTTCCTCCTTTGCACGTACCCAAATAGCTTGGAGGAATCACGTTGCTCCATATTAAGTCCATGATAAATAACAATTAGCAGTAACAGCTGAGAATTAAAAACTCTTTCCTCAGTAGGAAATACTTTGCGTTAGTCAAGAGAAAGTGTCAGTGGAAACAGTAGCAGTCTCAAATATGGAAATGAAGCAACGGGAACAGAGATGAAATGGCACCAGGCTGGGAGGGGAGTTAGGAATGTTCCTTCCAGAAAAGGTTGCTTGATAAAAATATAATGGTAGGTACAAAGAAATCAGGCAGGGACAACAAGGCACCACCATTACTCGTGCTTGCAGATCACTGCAATTCTCACTACTGCTAGCTTGAAATTCTGCTTACAAAACAGCTTCACTCATGAGGGGCTGAGGAAGTGGTCCTCAATTTTCCTCGCATGGAAAAATAAACACGGTAAGTTATGTCAAGTAACACCCTCATTTCTCTGAGCTTAGTTTACAATAGGACACTGTATATTGGGCAAGTAGTACGGATCGGGGCCACATCTGCATAATAAAGACAACACTCCAGCACCTTACATCTTGCAATACTGTAATTACAGACTTCATGGTTGGTAAGCATATTTAAACACAACTGAGCCCAACCACATTCTAACCTATTTGCATTTCATCCTTGTAGATGGAATCAATACCTGTAACTGTTTGATGTAGCGACAGCTGTTGCAGTTTATAGATTTAGTGAGACATGATGAAAGCTGGACTGCTGGGCTTTGCCAAACACCCCTGTAACTCACATGCGTTGAACAAATACACCTTTGACCCATTCAGTTGCATTGGCATCAGCTACTTTGTGCTGAAAACATGAGTTCATGCCTAGTAGAAACGACTTATCTTTAAGGTAGAGCTGTCTTTTTTATTCTCAATACACTCTTGATGAAAAACTCTTACCTGCAGAGCTGTATTCTGAGCACTGGACTGAGTGACAGCATGTGCACACGCACAGGGAGCAGTGCCAGCACTAACAGTGACACGGTACTGACTTCACATGACTCGTCTGGGAGGGGACAGCCAACTCCTGCCTGGAAACACCCCGGTGCCGGTGCCTAAACCCTCATAAAGTTTCCGCAGCAGTAGTGAAAGGTGAGGAGTTGTACTCTGAGCAGAAACAAAGGACCTCTCCTAGGCTACAGCCAGCGGGAGGTGAGCAAAGAGACTGAGATCAAAGGTATTGTGGCTTGAAAATACCCGATTGAAACTGAAGAAATAACTAAAAGGCACTGCCATGTGTGTGTTTAAAATACAATTGTAAGCTTTTCTAGGAACTGTAATTGCCTTGTGAGCTATGCAGAGCTTGGCACGATAGGAGACCCACCAGACACAGCATCTAGTCCCGTATCTGACTGTACAGTGTGGCTGATGTGCAGCTTTTGTGGAGAGCAGGTAGGTTGTCCTTACATTTTCTTTTATAGGTTTTGTACTTTTGCAGAGAAGTGGAAGACAAGGTGGTTTGCCACACTGGCCGTGCACTGTAAAGGTTGATTCCAGCGAAGTAATAAAATAGAAGATTCAAGCAAGAGGGAAAAAGGAGTCCCAAGCAGCTGGGCTGGCAGCCAGTCCATCACTGCAGACATCTCCAGTTATTCCTGCCAGCAGCAGGAGCACAATACTGGGTGCAGTACAAGGGGAAGTGGGCAATGGTGCATTCTCAGCATGGGACTGTCTGGGCAACAAGAAATGTAAGGGGGCATTAATAATAATAATAATAATAATGTAAATTTTTAATACAAAAAAATGTCTTTTTTATCAGAGTTTTCTAACAGTTTGTTTGGTTGTTTTTCTTTTCTGTTGATGTTAAGCATTTTAGAACATGGCCTGGACAAGCTAGTGCTTTCTGATAGCTGAAATGTAAAAGACGAAGCAGAGCTCATACTTAGTTGTTGGAGAAATGATGAAGTACGTGGAAATAAAAGAAATAGTTTGTGTTGGAATTCTTTACTGCCTAAAGCCAGAAAAGCATTGATTTACAGTTTCCTTTGGATCAAACTTTGTGTTAACAAGTCAGAGATAACCTCAAAGGAACTTCTATTTTAAACAGCACCGGTTCTGTCTAATGCTTGCAAATAGCTGCAGACAGCTGAGGTCTTCACTGATTGCTTCAGGGCTGTATAACATGCCAAAAGAAATCAGTGCCAAGCAGTTGGAAGGACTTTTTGTTTGCTCAAACAGCCATGGTTACATGAATGCTTCTGTTAACATACCTGGTGCATTCTGAATCAGAAGAGATAATCGGCATAAAGAGAGCAATGGGGGAAAACACAATCCATCAAAATGTATCTTGTTTTAGTGGAAATAACATGAAGTGTTTCTGTCAATAAAGGTAGAATATTGAGATTTTGGGGAGAGGGAGGGTAAGCAGAAATGGCAGTGCTGTTTCAAAACAGAAGGTTTTGCTCAAGAATGGCTCCTGGGATAAAATAATCCCGTGATTATTTAAAAAAATAGGAGGAATAGAAACTTATTTACAGCCCCACAGAAAGTGGGGCTCAGCCAAGCAATGGCTTTCTCTTCCCAGCAGCTCCAAGCAGAGGTGCGTTCTCCACTGTGCCCTTTGCGTGCAAAGATGCAGCACTGCTGTACGGAGCCGCTGATGGTAACTGAGACATCTGCACCTCTCAGATCCAGTGCTGTCTGTTACAAGATCGTCTGGGAGTGCAATAATCTCTTACCACAGACACTCTGGCCAGCACTATTTACTGTCCTGTCGCAGTAGAATAATTTCATTGTACTGTTTTCTGTCTGTGCTGGGTGGTTGTAAAGAAGTTAGCGAGGCATACAACAAAAGGACAAGGGACATGAGTTACAACAAGGGGCATTCTGACTAGATATTAGGAAAAAAATACAGGAGAGGTAGTCCAACACCAGAACAGATTTCACAGAGAAGCTGTGGAGTCTCCCTCCGTGTGGATGCACAGAGCTCAGCCCAAGGCTCTCAGCAACCTGATCTAACTTTGTAGTTGGTTTTGTACTGAGCAAGATGTTGGACCAAGTCTCTTCCCAAGTGAAATTGGGTTGTTATTTTATGTAGTGAAGTAAAACATCCTTAAAGAGTAAGGAAAGTGTTGGAACAGGGACTGGAATGGCTCAAAGCACCATGAATGAATGGGTTATTTATTCATTTGACGTGTTCCAACCTTAGTGGTGTTTTCATAGAGATAATCAGCACTCCTGCAGAGGACCTGTGTGACAAGATGAGAGCACACTGTGTATTGCATAACATAAACTCCTTCATCAAGATCAGGAGGTCTTTGCAATGAAGATAAGATCAGTTTGTCCCATGGCAAGTTATTTATGTTGTCCTCTCCAGACCAGCATGTTATTTGTTATTGTAACTCCTAGGATATAGTGCTCTCCATCAGGTGTATTGTAGTCCCAGTATATTTTACCAGTGAAGTTTTGGTTGGCAAATTTGACGCAGAGGGGGAAAAAAATCAGAAGTTCTCATAGAGTAGTTCTGTTAGCTCACAAAATCTCATAGTGAGGAGCTTTCTTCTCATCTTCCCATTGGAATATTTACAACTCCAGTGTTGAAATACAGGGTTGGGAGTTAGGGCTTGTGGTTCCACATCACATCTCTTCTTGTCTTTTTGTCTTTTTTCTTTTTTCTTCCCAGAACTGTTTCACTTCAGTAGTTTGGTGGACTGGCCTCATCTTTTTCTGTCCTTGAGTGAGCAGGGATACAAGTAGGAGGAAGGAGTCCAGTTTTTCTCTCTGCTGCCCATTGATCTGCAGACTAATCTATCGTAGGGAAACAGAGCTGGAAACACTTGAATAGACAGAAAATTTGTGAATAGACAGAGAATAGACAGAGTCACATTTGTGAGGCTGTACTCAGAAAGCTGTAGTCCAGCCTCCTGGATAACATGATGGTTTCTTTTTGGCAGTATATTCCTCCTTTCTGAAACACTGCAAGAAGAATACTCCCAAGACGCTTGCTATCATCACAAAGGTAACGAAACATCATCTCTCTAATTAGCCATTTTCTAACTGTTTGTACCTTATACAGGTGCCTTGGAGTCTTCTTTGTACACTCCTTTGTTACCTTAGGTAACATAGTTTGTCTGTGCTTCATTATTGTTCCAAGTATGAAAAGCAAAACAGCTCGAATTGTGCCATACTCAGTAAATCTGTAATTCCTGTTATTAGAGTTCACGTGCTTTTTTCTTAATGTCTGTGTGAAACCAAGAAAACCTTATGGAATGTCCTCTTAGCTTTCGCTAATTACAGTTTATGATAAGAGTGCAGCAATATGAAAACAGCTACGCAATATTCCCTATGGCAGGCACAGCACACCTCCTGAAACTGATCTTTCTGTGGCCAAGGAGAGCAGTTCAGACCCAGCAGCTCCTTCAACCTTGTGCTCGATGCTTTCCTTTTTTTCTCTGCTAAATTCAGAGGTGACAATCAACAGTCCAGTCGGAGCCAAACGCAAGGAGGTCTATGGTGAGGCAGCCACCTGCCCTTCGGGTTTTAATCCTGAAACTGACAGCTATTTCAGTCATTATCAACCACGGCTGGACTTAAAGCAGTGATGATTTTCTCACCATGCTCTGGGGCTGTATCTTCCAGTTCCTCTGCCACGTGGGTGAGGGCTGCACGGTGCTCTGCTGCATTGATACTTCATGGCACAAGCTCACATTGTAGTAGTCAGGTTTTTTGGTTTTCATCGATGTCAGTTTAGCAGCATTCCTGCCTTACAGTAGAGCAGTCATCTCGTGTCATTGTTTGCTTGTCAGCCTTTGCAGGGCAGTTCCTACAGAGTGCAGCGTGTTTCTGGGACAGACTGAGGGAGAGAGCTGTACTGCAGCACACCAGCTTTGGTTTGGGCTCTTCTTCCATTTTAGTTTGCTACCCTTACATCCCCATCAGCATTATGGTAAAACACTTAACTCACCTCAGGAAATAAGGGAACTTTTGTAAGGCTTTCTATAGAAGCTTTTTTTTCTTGTACAATAATGAAGGATGGACAGGGCACAGAGAGTAAATACCTCAGTTTTGCAACTAAACTTGCAGATGAAGTGATTTGCTGTTGTTAGTGGTGCATTCTTCCACCCTGCAGCTGTGCAAAGCTCACTCAGATCACTTCTTATTTCAGATGAAGAGAGACTCCGGGTATTCCACCATGGCTGCACATCAGGAGCAGGTAAAGACTCAAAGTCCATCTTTTAAAGGAAGTGATGAGCAGGTGCCTTGGAAAGCTGGATGAGCTGAATAACCTTTTAAGAGCAGCAACACACTCATCAACTCTGACCACTTCAGCACAATTAGGAGGTCATCACTCATCATACGGAAACATTTTCCCAGCATTTTTTCCTCCCAGTGAACCGCAGCTGTAGCGCTGAGTGGTGAAAAGCCTCTTATTGTTGCTTGCGTGGCAAGATACCATAATATTCCACATAGCCAGAAACTGTGCCACCTGTCTGTGCCCAGTGCCAAAAGTGGTGCTGCTGAACAGCCTGGTTCCCAGCTGGTGTGCCCCAGTCTCTTTACCTTGCAGGTAGGAACTCCAATTGGCACTCCAGCTATTTAGCAAATTGTACAAGGCCTTTGATCAGCGGGTCAGAGTTTGGAAACCTCTCTGGAGGTGTTGCTTGCATGAAGAGAAACAGGGTGTTAGCACTTGGACTTGATGAACAAGATTTTTTTTTAATGTGAACTTCTCTGTCCCCGCAGCTCATGTAATTATAGTGCATGGGATTCATTCATGTAATCACTTCCTCGCGTGTGGTAAAAGCACAGCCTCCAAACAAAACAGTTTCTATCAGAAGGCTTTGAAAATAGCTGAAGTGCTGAACTTTGGCTGCTCCCCGTCCTGCCTCAAAGCAGGTGGATCAGGAGTCATTCATTTTTGTGAATCTTTGAGATCTTCAGCTGGAGGACACTCAAGAATCAAATGTCATTTGCTCTAACTAAGCATTCCAACCCTCTAAAACTAGAGAGCTTTTCTTTGGTGTGTCTGTCATCTCAGGAGAAAGAAGGATTTGTAGGACAGAGTTCTGTTAAAAGACTTAAAGTATTTTATGGCTTTTTATACTTTTTTTTTCCCCTGAAGAATACCCAGATGGTGCTTCAGGCTTTAAAGATTCAGAAATCCTTATCTACTATCAGCATACATTACTGTAACATGGACAATGTGGATACAACTGGAAGCGTGTGACCTGTGAGAGCAAATGTCCAGCCCTGAACCCAGCACGTACTGTGTGGAGCTGGGACAGGTGACTTTTGCCAGCCTTGCATTCCTGGTGGAGTCGCCCACTGATAATGCTGGCAAATGATTGTATTGCTTTTAGAGTAGGCCTGTAGGGCTCACTGCCACGAAGCTGTAGGGCAAGAGTCCAGGAAATGACTTTCTCCTCAGTTGCCAGCTTGACAAAAAACTGAGATGATAAGAACAAATGTTTGTTTCAGTGAGGAAAGTTTCATTGCTAATGAGCAAAGTTCTGTCCTGGGACGGATAAACATTGCTGACAAGTTCTGGGCAATGTTTAATATTCTGTAGCTGATACAGAACCCAAAAGAGCTCCTAATGCTGAGAGCTGTGTTGAGAGGGTTCCTCCGTATTGCATTACCCAAAACACACCTGCATTCAACAGCTACTCCTGAGCTGCCTCTCTTGTTTGTCCTCTCTGCTGGGAGAGGACCAGGACAACAGCTATGAATCATGCTATTTTTACTCTGGTCTGTTTTTACAGCACAACGTACCAATAAAAACAGGAAGGACAGAGTTATGCACAAGGCACTACCTGGTTATTACACTGTATAGTTTTGAATTGCATTTGTTTTTTAGTCATCCTGGCAATAAATATAATGCATACTCACCTGAGAAAACTCAAACTAAGATTTCTGAACTCCAGAGTCAATTCCAACTGGGGCTATGCTAGAAGACAAATCGTTAATTATGTATTTGTCGTATATTTGATAAATACTTTAAAATATTTACTCAATCTATTTCAATATATTTGTTCAACTATATTGAATACTGCTTTCTGAATATTCCTATTCCTAAAATCAAAAGGACTCTGATAATTTCCTCATTGTTGCTTAGTGAAGTTCAAGTCCTTACTGTGCTAAAGGATCACGTTAACATCACAGTGCTCTCCCACTGCACGCAGGGAGATTCCACCAGCAGATCACATTTCTGTGACTGAGAGCAAGGATTTAGAGAACGCTGTACTTTTAAGAAGCTGCGTGTTTGGACTCCTTGTTGTTGTGCAGTTGTTCTGTATAGGTGGCACATGGTGCCTTCCAGACCAGCTGTACTCCCAGTACTAGAACTGAGTTCTATCTGCGATGGGCGAAAGGCACAGCACAAGGCAACGTAACGTCCTGTGTTAGACCTCTGTTATGGGGGAAAGGATAAGCTTCTGAGCACGAGTCTGTCTTTAGAACCAGTCTTCAAAGCTGAAAAGGGAGCTGAGACAGTAGCTCCAGATCACCTGAGCACAGCAGTTCATCGTGACTGCAGGGGGAAAGCCCATTGCACGCTGGCAGGAAGAACAGACTGGTGGGGTGGCAGAGGTGCTGTGATGCAGCAGCATTCCTTACCCTCAGTCTTCCATTCCTAGTGTTCTGAGTTGTCCAGAAGCCCTTTGTAGCACAGTTCAGGTACTGAGAAATCTATCCAATAAAATTGGGGAGAGAAAATTCCGTGGTCCTTAACAGCTGTTATCGTGTTCTTCAGAGCGTAAAACAATACAGGCTGACATAAGACAACCTGTACCACATACGTTTCAAAGACAAAAGCTCTAGTATAGCACAGCAGCGTGAACTTAACTCTCATTGCTTGTGCACAGGAAGAGAAGCTCTGGGCTGCTGTGAAGATGTCTGCCCTTGTCCTTGGCTCAGCCCTGCTCATATTCACTGCCTTAATGAACTCTGTTTCTTGGTAAGATTGCTCAGACAAAAGAGGCTTGAGGAGAAGTGTTTTTGTGTAGAGGGGATAAATGGGCTGTGAATGGATGAGTGACTAAGAACACTTGTTCCCACAGGTGCGTGCAAAAGATCTGCGATACTTCAGGCTACTTTTGGCAGACAACATGGCTGAAGCTTTACTACCTGTTTGAGGGAAGGGAATGGTCACTTTTCCTCTTTGGTGAGTTCCTCAGGTTTACAACCCTTTGCTGTGCTAAGAACCATCCATGCAGTGCATCTAAACTGGAACATGGGTGTCCCATCCCCAACTCACTGAGAACACACGTAGGCTTCCATGCCAGCTACAGCTGACGGCACATCCATGCTGCTTTGGAGTGGTTCCTCATTAGACCCATTACACAGGTTAAGAATTTGATCTTTTTGCTAGAAAAGAAATGGCTTCCTTACGTAGACATGCTCTTTGCTCCTGTGAGAAATGAATGACTCAGTAGAACTAATTTCTGAAAGTTGAAGTGAAATTAGTGAATTTCACGCTTGCTGTAGTGCATACACAACCCTTCTCCATCTGTGATTAACTGCTGGTGAACAGGCTTAGCAGGGATGTTGCAAGGTCCCAAGGATCAACTCAAACGTATCCAACGTGTATTTAAACGTCAACCATGAAGTAGTTCCCCGTCCTCCCAGAAAAGCCCACAGTTTTGGCAAATTTTAGCCTATGGGGCATTTATGCAGTTTAATTTCCTCACCATTCCCTAGATCTAAACTGGGTTTCAGAACCTGCTCGTTCTATTTTAAAGCATCACAGTGCAGGGGACCCAGCACACGTAGCTCCTAGTGAAGTCCTCTGGATACAATTACTTTTTCTTTTTTTTAATCTGTCCGCAGCTCCCCAGGTATTTAAGTATCTGTCTCTTCCTCACGTCACAGGGGCTGCATTGGTTCCTAGCCTTGCTTTTTGGTGCTTCAATGGAATCCTTATGGTGGCTGATGTAACAGGAAAGCCAACTTTCATTACTCGGTATCGCATTCAGCTGGGCAAGAATGATCCTGTAAGTATTTCTGTGTGCTGCTTCTGCTAGCTAAACACTTCTTGCAGTCTGTTAGGTCAGGAAAGGGGAGAAGAAGCACTTATGCTTTTCTCTTCCAAGCAGATAACTCCCTTTTCAGCTTTGAAGACTGATTCTAAAAGACAGGCTCATGTGCTAAGTATTGTATATCTATTGCAGAGGGAGGCAGTTCTTGTAATTAGGCTGCTGATCAGGTCTTGATAGCCCGCTTGTTAACAAGTTGATCCTACAGCTACCTAATGAAAGCAGCCAACAAATCTTAAAGCTCTTTGTCTTCCAGCTTAAAGCCACTGTGCTTCTGCTATAGCCCGGAATCCTGACTTCTTTTTTGCAGGTGGACACACAGAAATTGCGACAAGCCATCTACACAGCGCTGTTTAATCAGTTCTTTGTCTCCCTTCCCATGCTCGTGCCCATGTTCTATGTAATGAAATGGTGGGGCAACACCTTCAGCAAGGAATTACCCACTTTCCAATGGTTTCTTGTGGAGCTGAGCATCTTTACCTTAATAGAGGAAATCCTCTTCTATTATTCACACAGGTGAGCTGAGTACAGAACAGGACTCTGGTTTGAGCCCATGCCGTTAAGCTTACACCCATCTCTTGAAACAGGAATGGTCCTGGTTCACCCTCTTCCATCAGTCTTGTATTTAACCCATCCTTATTGCTTGAGGCTTAGCTGCTGCAATGCTGCTAGGAACTACAGGGAGCAAAAATGGGTAAAAACTACAGAAATGGCAGCTTAGGAAGAGAAAAAGAGCTATTTTATTTGAAAAGAGGAGAATGGGAGCATCCTGAAAGAAAAAAAGCTTAAGAATTCAGAGACTGATGTCCTCTTCACCTGAACAGCACCTACAAAACATAGCCTAGCTCCCAACACTACAAGCATTGTGACCATTTACTCCAGTAGTAGAAGATAAAATTGAAGCAAGGAAGGAAAAAGTCTGCAAGACCATGCAGAAGCAAGCACAGCATTCTCAGAAATACAGAGATTTCCCTTTTGGGCAATGGTAAAAGAAAACACAAGAGGCCATTTCTTACTAAGGGCCCAGGAAACTTAAAATCCTGTCTCTAATTGCTGCCAGTCGGAAAAGTCAGAATATGGAGAATATGAAGTGAGTCTTTCACTAAAATGTGCTCCCAAGTCTGAGCAAATCAGTCTTTCATAGACTTTGTTTTATGGGATGTATCAGAACTTAAGTTTAACATCAACCAGCAGACAGTGAAACCATTGGATGAGGGCTGATGCTAACGAGAGGAAACCACAGATCCTACACTGCCACTCCCAGCTCTAAGATCTGTTTTAGATGGACAGAAGCAAGTCTCTGGGAGATGTTCTATTACTCTGCATTCCTTTCTTATGGGGTGCAAAACTACATTTCTTTTTTTTCTCTACTTAGGCTCGTTCATCTCCCACTCCTGTACAAGCACATCCACAAGAAGCACCACGAATGGACAGCCCCCATTGGCGTGGTCTCCATTTATGCTCACCCATTAGAACACATAGTAAGTGGATTCTCCCATGCTCACCTTCCACTTCCTGCATGGAGTGCAGTTTCCATGGGATGAGGAGCAGCGGTAAGGGAAGCAGAGCAAATGCTTCCTTGGAATCTTCTTTCTTAGAGGAAGCTAAGCTGCATTACCAGGAAGCCTAGCTGTAGAAGTGCTGCAGTGCCTGTTTGTACTGCACCTCACCAGCTTTGAGAGCACAAATCCAAGGGCCTCAGGTAGGTAAGGAAAAGTCTGAATGGTGTTTCCTTGAGCACAGAGCTTCCACTTCTAAATACCATCTCCTGTTAATAAGAGGCCCAAACTGCTCCAGCAGCTCTGAGAGTCTCCCTCTGACAGACTTTGGCTATAAGAATGACTTTTTGGTGCAGTAAGCTTGTGATCTGGGCACTGACAGCTATTCGTGCCACTGGGAGGACGCAATCATCACATTGCTGCACGTGTCCACACATCACGTGGACTTAGAACCTTTTTACAGCTTGCTTTCCCAAGAATCTTTTATTGCAAGTTTAGGCATCTGGGGCACTGACTGTATTCCACAGCGAGCAAACCTGAGTTGGCTCAGAGTACAATTGTATCTTTGATGATTATGTAGTTTTGGTATTTTCAGGTCTGCCCTTTATGCTGCTTGCACAAAACCAATAGACCCAGGTGAAACAGTTCAGCCCCTAAAGGACAGCCTGCTCATTGTGGTCCCATTAACGAGGTGGTTCTACTTCTCTTTTCTAGCTCTCCAACACGCTGCCTGTCATGACTGGCCCAATGCTCATGGGGTCTCACATGGTTTCAATCACAGTGTGGTTCTCCCTTGCTCTTGTAACAACGAGTATTTCGCACTGCGGTTACCACCTGCCCTTCCTACCATCACCAGAATTCCACGACTTCCATCACCTCAAGTACGTCCCAGCTTCCCTTTCTCCTCCTTCCTGTGCCCTGTCACTGCCTGCAGACAAAGCTCCCTTCTGAGAGCCAAGTGATTTTCATCATTCACATACAAGCAGAGAAACCTATCCAGTTCACATAACAGCAGATCAGAATGCTGTCAGGTCTTAGAGCAGTTAAACAGAGCTTTGGTTTCCAAACCAAGCTGCCTTCCCGCGCAACTGCCATCCACCTCACTGACATCTACCCTCCATCAGCTGACTTGGAGAGCTTATCTAAAGCACAAGCACAGCAGCTGAGTCCAAGTGTTTCAAGTGTCCTAAGGTGACACGGGAGGAAAGCACGGAGTGTCTGAAGTAGCAGCTATTACCTGGACGTTCCCCAGCACAAACACAGACAGTTCCATGCAAGGCTATTCCTGGAAGTTCAGAAGATACTGTGTATGGTCTAGAATCAAAACAGAGCAGTGGTGAATCACATGGCACAATAAATCTGCAGTAGGAGTCTCCCTGAATCTTTCCCATACGCTGAGGTTAGTGATGTTGATAAGGTAATGCCTTGGCCAAACAGCCTCAGTTAACACTCCTTGGCAAAGGTTCCCAGCTCCCTTTTACACCAGAGAGAGCAAACTTTCAGTACAGCATTCAGGGATACTTACCAAAACAGAAGAAAAACAGTTTCCATCTCCCTGCTGTGCATTAAATTCATACAAACACTTCCTCAAGCAGTTTGCTTCTGCAGAAACAGAAGATGTGGTAGTTCTGATGCAACCTAAGTGCAAAGCAGCACCCAAAACGTGGGCCCAGTTCTTGTTAACAACCATTTCATCTGCAGCTCGGCTCAGATGCTGTCTGGGCAGAACGGCTGTGCCAGCATCTGCAGTGCTGGGAGCACAGCAGCTCCACATCTCTGGGCAGCCTGGTCTCAAGAACATGGCAAGGTGGGTGCCCACCTGCTTCCACAGCTCTGAGCTGCTGGGCAGTGGTTCAGGCAGTTGTTCAGTGCCACCATTCCTGGATAGCGATGGATCGAGGGGTTCATCAGAGCTGTGAGGCAGACAGGTACAGCAGCAGCAATCAGGTGAATGGCTTATCAGAGCTCTGAAAGGAGATGGGAACAGGGAGGGTGAGGTAACTTCAGTAACTTCCAGTGATGTTTGTTCTCCGTTTGACTTCCAGGTTCAACCAGTGTTATGGAGTCCTGGGAGTGTTGGATTATCTGCATGGAACAGATGATGTGTTCAGACAAAGCAAAGCCTACAAGAGACACAGGGTCCTCCTCAGCCTCACCCCGCTCTCCAAAAGCATCCCTGATATACCAAGAGAGCAGGGTGAACCCTCCAGGCTGCAGCTCCTGCAGAGCCCAGGGATAAGGAGAGGAAGAGACAATGATTTACACTAATATTTTACTTGTGAAACAAGTTATTATTCACACGTAATGAATCTCAAAACTGAACTTAAACACAATACTTGAGATGACTTCATGTACTGCCTGTTATTCTCCACCTAAAGCATGAAAAAACAACTCTAGAAAGGTATTTCTAAACCACTGCACTACTTCTTGGTTCCAGCTGCCTGCATGTAAGATGAATTCTAGGCTACGTGGTTTCAAGACTTGCTGAATTTTCACTGTTAAGGTTATAGCTTCTCATAGACCATGTCATGGCCTCTTCCAGCAGCATTCTCTAACAATACCAGTAAGGTCACTGTAACTACATACACAGGAATCAAGCCCACATGGCTTCAGACATCTCCCCTTCATGCACGTAACAGGCCTGCTTTTCCTTCAGCAGTTTTTCCACTCTGTAAGATGCAGGTCTGATTTCAGGGCTGTTCATCCTCATCAACACTCCACAAACCAACCTCTGCAAATGTAGAGTTTCTCCCACAGGAAAGGTAAAGACATTTGGAGCTAAGATTATATGGGGGGAAACAAGAAGCCTCTCAGTCACTGTCCCCACAAGAAAGGAGGTCCCTTCAGCCTGAAATCCAACTGACAAGTCCTGCTACATCAGCTCCTACTTGCAAGCCTCGTGTGTCAGCTCATGGCAGCAGCTCTTCCTGCACTGTCCTCCAGATCCTCCAACCACCCTGCGCCAGCCAGCCCATCCGCAGAGCCTACAGCCCTCTGTGGAAAACACAATGGTTAGCACAACAGAAAACCCAAACCGCACTGTCTTTTGAAGTTTTTATTTTTATACATTTTTTTTTTGTATTAAAAAGGAAAAAGCATAATTACCACAAATTACAAAGGACTAAAGCATTACTAGAATAATGAATCACATCAGCCTAGAAAGCAGATACTCTGAATAATATTAATGTTATAATACAAGCTCTCATTCAAGTATTTTACATTTTTCTCTTTTCCTTTTATATGCGATGATGATCCTAGCACATGGGTCAAAGATTATGTACTATCGACAGAAGATGGATCATGTACAGCGGGCCATATTAACAAGATTTTCCTCCCAACTGATAAATGGTCTGTGATGAGTCATTTTAAGTTTGTCTCTACGATAAATGCGGCTGAAGAAGGTTGCACACACTTTCTAGTCTGGGGAACAGAAGGCTGAGGTTGGGATATAGCCAGTCTGAGAAGGGCCAGCACATCGAACCATCGCCCTGTTGTCCCAGCCACCGAGGCTGAGGTCTTACCCACGTGACCTGAGCGAGTCGGAGCAGGCAGGCAGAGCCTCCCCTGGGTACAACTCAGCGATGGTTTGTGAGATCCAAGGATTTCCAACCCCAGCAGGAGCGGATCAGGCTGGGAGAGGAAGGGGGGAGCAGGGCGGGCTGCCTTCCCTATGGGCATACATCTGCACCAGGGAGGCTCGGGGACCAAGCACCCCTCCCATGACAGCTGTCACCGTCCCCAGCCCACCCACAAGACTGCCACTGGGAGATGGGGGCAGGAGGGCAGCAAAGGCCTTGGGTGACCCAGAGTGCTGCAAAGGGGCGGTGGTACCTGGGTCGGTCCATGCTCTTCTGGAGCTCCCCACTGAGGGGATGTGCTTGTCACAGATACGTCGGTCCTATGTTCAAGTGTCTGCAGAAAGTGAAGCTGTAAACTACTCATTGAAATGCTGCCCTCCAGGCACCCACTCTGTGCCACTGAGATGAAAATTTGCTTTTTAAAAAAGTCATTCTACCTGTATTGGAAACTTTAAAAAAAAAAAAAAAAAAAAAAAAAAAAGAAAAGAGTCAGTGAGGCATTTAACATCAAGTGTAGCAACCCTCTCTAAAAGAGCCTAGCATCCATTTCTAAACAGTGACAGTGACATAACCAGTCTCAGAGGAAACAGGAGAAAATAAGCATTGCAAACACAGCTTGCTACATTTACAGTTTTCTTTTTTTTTTTTTTTTTTCTTCTCTTTTTTCTTTTTTTTTTTCCTTTTCCTTTTGATAAAATAACTGGAAAGGCATTAACAGCTAAAGGCCCCCTCTGCACCGCCACGCTGAATGTGTGGACACGTGGCAGCATGCTGAGGTTCACAAATCATCGTTACAGTACAGTCACCAGTCTGAAGCAATGTGAGCAGTTGCCAAACCTCGAGGGAACCCATGGGCTACAGCAAAAAGCTGCTGACGGGGGGGTGCAGCAGGGAGAGGGACAGACAGGCAAATGGAGCAGCAGTACTATTATTATTATTATTATTATCTTTCTTTCCTTTCCCCCCCTCCCCCCCAAATGAACATATTAAGCAACAAAGTCTCCTCTGAAACACACCATCCAGCTTCACTGCTGACCCCTGCCAGAGGTCTGGAGCTGCTGCGAGTGCCTGCAGCCATGCAGGGGTCAGCAAGTGGCATTGCAGTCACAGGAACTGAGCACCTGATTGCTCAGATCGTTATAACAATTTTAAAAAAATCATTATATATGATCGTGATGAAGCATCCAAACTAAAAGCAAGGCCAAACTCCTTCCTCAGCAGGAGGACAAGAGGAATCCAAGCAAAACCACACTCTGGACAGCTGTCCTATTTCCCTGGGGCGGAGCGAGCCACGAGCGACACCTGATGCACAGTGCCTGATGCACATGGCTGCACAGCACCAGCAGGGTGTGCATGCAAGAGGGGGAGCACTGCAGCCCCATCCCCATGCCTGCTGTAGGACACGAGACAGCCATGCAGAGCTCAGCCCTCGAGCAGTTCCACTGTACCTGCGGATGTCATCACCTGCCCTGCAGGCACCAGCTGAGCAGGCTGTTTGTTTCCACCTTCCCTTCATTCTCTGGAGATGCTGCTGTCCCATGGAGATGCTACAGGGCACACAGCAGCACGCAGCTTGCTGTCCCCTAACAGAGACTGCAACGGCTGGGATCTCTCCTCTGACCTCCTGCAAAAGCCACCCTCAGCCACACCAATGCAACCAAGCACTGACTCAGAGGGGAAAACTCTTCTGTGCCAAGACCAGACAGAGCCTCAGCCTCAGAAATTAGAGGGATAATTTCAGATCAGTTCAAGTTCTGGAAAATTCTATGGGACATTGTTTGCCTCTTCTATCACCCAAACAATTCCACAGTCTGTTCCACAAGGAACATCTCCACAGCAGGAGTTTGTTTCTCCTAGTTTCCTGTTTTGTTTGTTGCTCAAAAGCAGCTCATCGGCATCCAAAGAACACGCACCAATGAGAGGAACACAGGGAACGCAGCAAGGACCACTTGCAGCACGTTCAAACCTGCTGCCACTTGCACACAACCATCAAAACTTCTCTAACAGCCTTGGTCAACCTCAAGTCCAGGCTCCAAGGCTTTTCCTTCCCAAAGCAGGGCCAAGCCCTGTCACATGCACTGTATCAGAGATCCGACTCAGCTCACAGGAGAAGAGAAATGCAGACATAACAGCTGAGGCTGCAGTTACACCAAAGCTAATTGCCAGCCCAGCCTGCGTACGCTGGGAAACCCAGAGCAAGTTGAGGACCTGGACATAACATCCCAAACCCAGCCTCCAAGCGGTACCAAGCTGCAGAACGTTGTGATAGCAGCAGACAGACCAGAACAAGATCACACCATGAGGAAACAGTGAAGCAGCAGCTGCCCAGTTTCACTCAACCCTCGGCTATGCTCTCAATCCCAAGTTCACAAAGCTGCCCTGTAGACCAGTACCTCTCCCTCACCTATAAAGCAAGACTTTGATGCAGTGTCAGTTCAGGAAGGCAACATCAGCCAGGATTCAGCAAGCAGCTGCAGCCACTCCAACCTCCAGCCCCTTGCCCATCTCAGCACCTTGAGTTCTGCTCAGCACCTGGTTACTCCTACCCGCAAGCCTCACAGCCATACAGACACAGCCTAAGGACACGGCTCCCTCCTGCAGCTACAAGACACAGTGCTGTACTGACTTCAAAATACTTTAGGGAAATGTTCGTTACCAGCTTTTGATTTTGCAGAGGACAATGCAATCAGCTGTATCTTTCCACAGCCCACCAAGCGCCCGCTCCGCACCATGCAAACACAGCATGCTCACAGCACATGAGGACAGCGTGCCAGAGTTTCAACCAAGCCAGCTGCAAAGCACAGGTCCTGACCCAGGGCACAGAGCAGAGCAGCAGGGCAAGCAGCTCTCACTGAAGAGGTGCTCTGAGCCGGGGGCACAAATCTCACTCCTGGACCATGTCCCCCCACACAGCCACGTGTTTGTGAGGGATGCAACCAATATGGACCTGGGGAGGATTTGCTGGCCACAGCCCAGCCAGTGCTGCACAGCACAGCCCCCAGGACATTGTCACAGCCCCCAGTGCAGCTACCCAGGCAACAGCCCTCCTCCAATGGGCAACTGCCTACTGGGACATAGAGCAAGATTCACTGGCTGGCAGCAGGAGTTGCACTGTGTATCAGACAACAGCATCGGGTTGCATGAGGCCTTGCCTGCCCTCCCAGCACCAAAGTCCCTCCAGCTGCCTTGACAGACGCTGCCCACCTCCCAGGCACAACCCAGGCTGCCCAGAAAAGGCCGAGCGATGTCACAAGCTCACAGTCACCGTTGCAGGGAGGATGCTACAGTAGTATGTACACAACATAGGACTTCAACTACGTGGTGAGCACAAGTCTGGAGTATGACTGCCATCAGTGCCTTCCCTGCAGGAGCGTCCCAGGGAGCTGTGGGTTGGAGGAGGCTGCAGGGCAGGTGGGCTCGGCAGCAGTGCCGGGAGGAGTCTGTGGGTGTGGGCAAAACGCCCAGCACGCCCTGGGGCACGAGAGGCCAGTGAGCCTCCCCATTCCAGCTCCACCATAAGGCAACTTTTTTTTTTTTTTTTTTTTTTGTATTTTTGTGTTTTTTTTCTTTTTTTTTTTTCGTCTTCAATTAATATATCCAAGGAAGAAAGCAAAGGAAGATGTCTTTCTAGAGTTTTTGTTGTTGTTGTTTCAGGGGTATTGTGTTTTTTCGTTGTTGTTTGTTTCATTTTTCCAAGGGAAAAGGAAGAGGAAGGCTCCTTCAGCAAAGTCCTGTCTTTGCATGCAATGGGCCCTGGGCAGGCGGCTGCGGCATCCACGCAGATTTCAAGTCCAGGTGCCTGCCAGCCTCCCAGCTGCCATTCTTGCAGGAAGGAGTCACAACAAACCTATCCTTGGCAAAGGTCCTTTGGTTGATTTCCAAATTGTCCGTGATGGAAGGGAGAAGAGGTGGGCAGAGGGAGAGCCAGACCCGCGAGAAGGTTGGAGATGAAGACGCTGGGGAGGACGGACCGGGAAGACCAACAGGGCTGGGTGCCTTTAGCGACGGTTGGTGTCGAAGAAGCACTGCCAGACATGGGATGGGAAATGTCAGCCAGGTCATGGAGATCAGAGGCTCCGCAGCACTGCAATGCTGTGGCTTCGGCCCCTGCGAGGGAACCTCACTCCTCTGAGCTTCCTGGCCGGGCTGCCCAGCGATCCAAGGGGTGGGGACACAAAAGGAGTCACCAGGGCTGCACAGAGCGGACTTGTTTTGGTAAATCTGGACAAACCTCTAGCAATAATTTAAAACTTGATATATATATATAATAATAATAAAAAAATCTCCCCTTTCCAACCCAGCCAGAATACTTTTTTGAAGATACACTAAGACACGAGCGTGTGCACAGGAGGGGAGGGATGAGAAGGAAAAGCAAAGGGTGGATCTGGTGGGGGTGGGTCTGGCTCTGGTCAGGTTTGTAATAGCAAAACGGTGTTTTAGATGCGAATCGTCTTTGCTTTCCAGCCACAAGAGAAAAAAAATCATGTGCGTTGAAGTTTCTCCCAGCAGGCTATTCCTGGGCACCCACATTCCAACTCCCTTCCCATCACAACCCCTCATCCTCTTCTCTGAGCCAGTCCCCCACAACCCATCCCGTCTCCTGGTGGGAAGCAGAAGCTGCATCCTCTCTACTTCCCCACTGTCTGCGACTCTGCAGCAGGGACTTGCTGGCTCAGGTTTTTGGCATCCTCTTGTGCAGGCTGACTGGGCGAGGCGTGGGCTTGGCTGGATGGGCACTGGCTGACCGTTTTGCTGGAAGACTGGGATGGGTAGCGCTTCCTGCCATCTCCCCCTGACGTCGTTGGGTATCTCTTGTGTCCACCTTCCTCTCCCATGGGTGGCTGCAACAGAAGCACCCCAGTATCAGCACAGTCTCTATTGAATGCACATTCTCTCCCCTGGATCAGAAAGCATCCCTGCTGCAGGCTCCTGACTGCAGCGCCTCTGACCCATGGGGAACACACATACCTACCCAAGTCACACAGTACTAGGACAGCTGCTCTCCTCTCCAAATCCACCACTGCCAGAATTGCTGACAGTCTTCCAAGAAAGACCAAGCTGTCACCCTGTGCTTAAGGCACCTCCTTCCTCCTGAGAGGAACAGTGTCCAGGAGTCTGGGAGACAAAGCTACACAAGGCCAGCTCCACTCAAGCCACTAAGGCTCACTTTCCTCCTATTTTTCTCCTCTCCCACCAAATCACCAGGGAAGAGGCAGTCATCTATTTCCCCATAGAGCTGCCCTGAAGCTGATGTACAGCATTCAAACCCTGCAGCAATTGCTTTGCTTTAGAGATATCAAGGCAGTAGTAACTGGAAGTCTGATTGATGATTCAGACATTATATGAAAGACCCAAGAAGTAAGAAAAGACCATGTGTCTGCATGGGCAGTGCATGCAGCTCTGCTGCTCCATTCAAACAGATATCCTCCTCTACCTACTCAATGGTTTATCTGCACTCATCACATCCATCTGAGCCACGTCTCCAAACCTTCACTCATCTCTGCTCATATCCTTGTGCTCCAAGGATGGTGTGTAAGCCTTAGCTCCTCAGCTCCTGTTCAGTACCTGAACTGATCTCTGAGCACCTGAGCTGGCAGCAACACCAGCACAATGCTGCCATATCCAGCCTCACTCACTGCCCAGCTAAGGTACAGAGAATGGCCTGCACTTTCCAGGGAAAGGAAAGCACACAGGGCTTCTTAATAAATTTCAGCCCTGACTGGCTTCTGAGCTTTTGCTGTCTCAGCGATGCAGGATCCTTCAGGATGACACAAGACTTTGAAGTGCTGAGGCTGCTTGTTCTTGGCCCAGCTGCAATGATGCACTATGACACTAGGTGTCACTGACTCCCCTGGCCACAGTGCTCAGCAACCCTGTCTTGAAACCCTCTGCCCTTGGAAAGGCCTTGGAGCAGCTGTGGGGGTCCTTCACTGTGGTGTGTGGGGGCACTGTTTCTACTCACATCCACTCGGAAGTCCTCGAGGCGCTTGAACTTGCTGAGGTATTCTTGCAGTTTGCTGTTGATGTCCAGATTTTTGGCTTTGGAATATTTTAAGAAGGCCCAGAACTTTTCCAGCCCATAGAGCTGGCCTAGAGGGGGAAGAAAATCAAACCAGGAGTCAGAAGTCTTTCCTCAGGGCTTCCTCACTGCCTGTCCCATGGGCCCACCTGTCCTACTGGTTGGCACTGACAAAATACAAGGAACCTGGAGGAAAGCAATCTACCATCAGCATAGGGCAGCACCCTTGATGGGAAATGGCTCCAGGCTCTGTGACTGGATTAGTGACCACAATGAGTGGTGGGAAAGCTGTGACTTTCCACAATCTAGCTCCATATTCACTCCACCCTCTCCTGCAAAGCAAGCAGCTCTGCTCTGTGCAGGAGCATTTCTTACCTGCAGGACAGCAGGGCTCAACGATGTCACAGCCTGTCACTGTCAGACACAGAATTACATGGCCTTCCCCAGGTCACAAAAGGAGGCACAAGAGCACACGTTCATCCAGGCAACATCACTGCTAAACTCAGGTGAAGGCAAAGGAGACACTTACCAGCTTCATAATCCTTGATGGTCTCTTCTTGAAAGTCTTTAAATATGTCTGGCCGGAATTTCTTCTCCAGCCCATAGCTGTAGTATCGGAAAAGGCACTCCAGACCATACCTGGAAACAGAAGAGTATGTGGTGCTCAGACACTGGTGCATGCAACACCTAGGCAAGAACCCTGCTGCATCTCAGAAAAAGGATGTGATCCAGGGTGGTCCTGGTCTTACCTTCAAGCCTTCAAAGACTAAACACCCTTCCCACAATCCCATCTCAAAAAAGGCCATTCAGCTCTTCCTCTTACCTGTATCCCTCTTTCCCATCCTCCACAGCCAGTTGCTTAAACTCCTCATACATTTTCTTATTGAAGTGATCTCGTAGGAAGAAGGACCAGAATCGGAAGAGCGTGTTCATCTCCTGGGACTGACCAATGCCCAGCCGCTTTCGCTCTGTTTGGGAAGAACGGCTGGTTACAAGACAGATGCTTTCTCCCAGGGAACCAGCCAGACACAGGGGATCTCACAGAGGAAGGTCTTATTTTATATATATATATACATTTTATACATATTATTGGACACCATTAACTCTCTGGACCATGAGGAATTATCTGCCACCAGCAAGCTTGTCCTACAGGACCCTGTCTACCGCTGTGTGTGGACTCTGCTGCCATACCCCATGCCCCTGTACATCAGATCACAAGCACCCTGCCCCACACCCAGAGGGAGGAAGCCCTCCCCACATGCCTACCATTAAGGCAGCGCCGACGGTACTTGTGGTAGACGTGTTGCGTGAAGCCGTTCTCCTTGAGCAGCTCATGGGAAGGATGCTGAAACTTGGGCAGGGACTGCGGGGTGCAGCCATAGCTTCCAACGGCCGGAGTTCCCTCAGAGGGGCTGGAGCTGCACACAAGAGAGCCTCATCAACCCCTTTCCTTTGTAACCAGACAACAAACAACACAGTGCACTCACGCTCCACTCTGCAACACTCATTTGTTTGTCCCACCTATGAGCGCATCCACTCCAAGTTTGGGACCTGAGCTACAGAGCATCCTACTAGAAAGGAAACCGACACTCCCAGATAAATTGTATCTCGTTATTTCAAAACTGCAAAATTTCACAGCTCCCTCTAGGATGAGACAGGTCCCAGCTCCTTCTGCAGTCACTTAAGAGGTGACCTGCCCTATGAGATCAAACACTGCCCTTCCCTCACTTGCTCTCTTTCCTTTTTTGGTCCCTCCATGACCCCATTCTTCCATCTCCAGTACCTGATGGAGGCAGTTCGGGGTCTATGCTCCCGGGAGTCCATCACCCAGCCCACGTGGCACTCCATTGGGGGGTTTGAACTGTGCCTTGTCTTCCTCTTCCGTGGGGTCTGTGAGACACAGTACATCAGGGACATGTTTGCTTCCTCTCCACATCCCAGCTGGGAAGTCCCGGCCTCCCACCCCACGCCCCAGCCCTGGTCCTACCTTGGCATCTATCGTCCTGCCCTCCTTCACCACTGGGTAGAACCGGGGTGTCTGTGTAGGGTCCTTCAGCTGAGGTGTGCGAGGGGTCCTGGGGGTCCTGGCATTGCGGTAGTTGGGTGATTCTGGTACGGTTGTAGGCAAAGATCGGGCGATGGTTGAAGGTTCAGGTACTCCAAACAACTTGTTAGCCAAAGCATCTGTAGGTACTGCAGAGACAAACCCCCCGAAGCTGGGTCAAATTGATCTCTGAGCACAAGAGCATCACTACAGCCAAAGGGCACCCACTGGATTAGGATCTCTTGGACACATCCTAGTCCTCCTGAGACAAACAACTGCAAAGCCAGTCTGCAACCAGAGAAATCAAAGCCTGGCAGCAGGAAAGCAGACACTTTCAGGGACCCTGCAAAGTATCTGCTTTCTAGGGGAAGATCACACCAGTGCTCTGCCTGGGCACCAGATTCCACCAACAGGCAAGCAGGGCCCAGCAGATAACTGCCTTTAAAATACTCAGCAAGGGACACTGAGAGGGAAGGGTCCAAGAGGAAAGACTCATGGAAGTCTGCCCAGATTTCCTCACTCTGTGGAGACACTCCTACTTTTGGAACTCCAAATCATTTAGCTGGGAGAACAACACCCCACTGGGAAAGATAAACAGCTATGGCTCTACTTGCTTCCCTCTAGCTATTTCTGAACCTCTGAGGACCACTCACCAAGAGGAAAGGGGACAAATTCAGTCCTACCCATTCCTGTCCACATTGTCTTACCTTGCTGGAACCTGGGGGGGCCAGGAGGGACCTCCTGGTTTGGATCCACGGGGGGTTCTGGGGTCAGAGTATCAAACTGCTCCCTGCTGATCATATTCACCTTCTTGAAGTTCTCCACCTCTTGCTGCATTGGAAGAGGAAGATGATAAAGCAACCAAACACTCTGTTGTCCCCTCATCTCAACAGCTCACTGTGACCACCACACTGCTTGTGCAACAGCCACAATGCTGAGCACAAGACACAGCTTCAGTCACTACAAGAGCCTGGGGCAAGTTCCTGATTGCAAGAGTCACCAACCTGGAACTCAAACTCAGAGAGGCAGGTGAGTTTCCTATAAAAAAAAGCACCAGCCTATGCAAACTGGCAGAAAAATGGAGAACAGCACAGGCCAAAAGTGTCCCAGTCATCAATGAACAGTAACTGAGGTCTCAAGAGACCATGCCATTAAGCAGTAGGCACTACAGGCAGTGCAGACAGCTAATTCCTTCAAGTCATCTGCCGCTGCCTATACACTACTGCAGTCTTGAACAGCCAAGACCCTGGCAGACAGCAGATCAGTGGACCACATTTTCCAGGTCACCTGGTTACCAGAACCTCAGTCTACTGGCTGCAGCCTTACAGCACGTTACAGAGCTGTATTGATCCCAAACATAGCACAGCATGACACTGGAAACCAGGAATCCTGAGTTCTGCAGCAAGATCAGTCCCTGCTGAGCTCTGTCCCAGTCCCGGGCCAGGAACTGCTGTACCAAACCCAAACCATCACCATGGCCAACCCACCATACCTCCCTGGGAGGAGCCATATGGCCCTTGTGAATTCTCCTCCTCAGATCAGCCTCTCTCACCTTGATCTGTGAGTACTCTGGCTCAAACTGCTCTGTCCACAGGTCTTGCTCATAGTAGTACAGCCCGTCATTGATCACCTTGGCCAACTCTGAACTCATTTTAGCCCTGGATGTGTGGTTGCCAGTCCGGTCTCCACCAGGATGCCGGCGTAGGTATGGAGGCGTCTGAGTCACGATGAGGATCTTGTTCACATCCCGATCATCAATTTCGTAATCCGAATCCTCGTCTGACCAGTCGGTGAACGTGTTCTTGCGGCCATCCATCTGCTCCATCTCCTCATCAAAAAGGAAGTCCAACTCCTCGGGTTCATCTTGGTCCTTTTGCTTCTGCTGCTGTGGGGTCTTTGACTCCTCTGGTTTCTAAGGGTAGAAGGAGCAATGGTGATGCAGCACAAAGAGCACACAGAGCACAGGCCTACTGCTGGGAGACCCAGCTCTTGCCCCGTGTTTCTTTATGACAGCCAGAAGTTGTCTGTCTGGGGAGAATTATTTATATCTCTGTCACTGAGGAGCAGCCCCAAAGTAGATGGGGGCATCACTCATGACGAACAGACCTTACGTGGTCTGAAACCTGCTGCTCACTTAGGGTTACAGCCCCTGAAAAAACAACCAGTAGGCCTCCACCCCAACAGTCTACATTGCTACATACCTTGGGCCTGGCTGGAGAGGGCCGAGGCCTCTTCTTCACTTCAATCCACGTCTCTGAATCCAGGTCGGGCAGGCTTGTGGACAGGCCCTTGGGCATTGTCTTCAGGTTACTGACTTCCTCTGTTTTTGTGGGGACTGGACTGGTGGGACGTGGGGAGCCAGGAGCAGACTCTAGAGCCAACAAGAGCCACAAATGCTTTAGTGGGAGGCTTGAGTGGTAGCATACATAAAGCACTTGATTTAGAGGAAGTTATTTTGGCAGCAGAGCTTGTGGGACACATGAGCAGGCAATGACTAAGGCAGGAACATTCCTGCTCACCAGCATATTGCCCCAGAGTGCTGAAAAAAATCTCTGGTTAAGGCTGTGATGCTGGTGGTGACCACAGAGCTTTGCAGGTGTGGGTTTCCCAGATACGTAGAGAGCCCTAAAGCAGGTGGTGATTTTGTTGCTCTGGGAGAAACTTTCCCATGACAGCCTGGTACCAGTGAGATGTTCTTCTGCATAAACTCTTACAACAGCACCAATCAGATCCTCTACTTGGCTACTCAAACTCAGGCCTACAAACCAAAAGGCAGAGCCCTGTCCTGGGGAACACTCATGACACTCAGGGGCTCAGACCTGCTGCGGCACCAAGCTGGGTCTCACAATTCCCTCCCTCCACAATCCCCAGACACTAACCTGTCTCCTTCTGGAAGCTTTGCCGGGGCACAAACTCAGGGCAGTTGATGAACTGTGAGAAGTCAGTCTGTGTGTAGTCTGCCATAGGAGGGCCAGGCAGAGCCCACTTTTCTGGCTGCTCTTTTCTTCTGATCTTCTGGTCCACAATTTCCACCACCTTGCTGTCCTTCAAAGCCTAGAACCAAGCAAAATCAGGTCAGCTCAAGGCCCTGCTTTGGCATACAGAGGGGCTCAGCTTCAGTCCTTCCTCCCTATGTGATTCAAGAGGAGGAGGGAGCAAGTCAAGGACAAGAAAACAAGAAGCCAGACAAGAGAGAAGGTTCAGCCTTCCTGGCCCTCACCTTAATGATGAGACTGATGTCAGTAGTCAGTGCCTGTACCCGGTGGAAACTGGCAATCAGGGTGATGGGAAGGAATCCATCTGAGTCCATCTTGCGACGCAGGAAGAAGTCTCGCTCCAGGTTGTCCACACTGAAGTAATATTCTCTGTGTGGACAACACATCAGTGAGAGACAGACCAGCCACCTTCCTCAGGACACCACCACCCCACCCCGTGGAAATAATCCCCCTGCTTCTGCTCTTGTGAGGCTGAACAGCTTACATCTGCCGCTTGATGTAGTCCTTGAGCAGTTCCTGGTCCACGCTATAGAGCTCGGTGCTGCTAATGTTGTCAAAGTAGTAAGTGATGTTGCTAGCATACTTCTGGGTGCGGGAGCCATCTGAGCCCTCAAACTTTCGGTATCCATACTGGTAATCGAAGTGCCCTGCAAGACACCAACAAGGGAACGTCTTGGTTAACACAGAGCCTCAAAATCTACCAGACAGCCTGTGCTGCCATGTGGGGCTGGGCACCAGCAATAACAGCTCTCCCAGCACCGCCCTTGGGGGGGGGGCCCCCCCCATGACAGCACAAAACAGGGCATTGCCAACTCATTCCTCCACCCATTTATCTCAGACTTTGCTGCAGCAGGGATCCCAGTGAAACCTTGACACACCAAGGCAAAGAGAGATCACTAACTCTCCTCCAGGGGCAATTAGATAGCCTAGGTAACGCACCAAGGTTCTGCACTGAAGTTATGCCAAGGGTCACACAGACACAGCTGTGCTGAATGCTAGTAGAAGCTCTTCCTAAAAAAGCAAAGATTCCTGTTTGGCTTTCAGTGCGACATAAAGCCAAGGCAGAATATCAGCATGCTGCAACTGCTGCACAGGAGTGTTGCAAGGGGCAGAAAACAGGTGGAAGAGCTTAGCCTGAATAACAAAGACATTCACCCTTATTAGAATACTAACAAAAATAATTTGCTGTTATTAAAATCAGCTCAGCTGGATGCCACCTCCAGAGCAGTACATAGCTCCTCACAGAGGATTTCAAATCAAGAGTCCTCTTTGGCAGCTCACGCTCCCCAGCTGGGATGACCTGCCACACTTCATTGTCTCTCTACAGCACTCTGCCCTGCCCAGTCTGCTTCAGAACTCCAGGTCACATATACATATCCCTGCACTCTGGCACGTGCCCTGTTCTCTCTTTCTGCCACAAGACAATACAAACAGCAAGTACCTCCTCTGCCCCGGCCACGGCCCCTGCCACGGCCCCTGCCTCGGCCCCGGAAGGCTCCTCGTACAGCTCCTCCCTCGCTCTTCACACTGGAGGTCTCATCATGGTCCTGCCAGGGGCGCTCATGCTTGTTGTCTGGGTGCCAGCCTGCAGCAAAGAGAGGCAGAAGGAGCATTAAAGGATGCAGGTACTTCCCAAGAGCAGGCCCACTGCCCTTGAAGCCCTTCGACTACACAAAGCATTCCCACCACGTGCCCCTGCTGCCCTGTGGTCAAGGAAGGAGAGTAGGGTCCCATTCTGAGCCCCCACCTTTCAGCTCGCCACGGTTGTTGGAGAGGTGCCTGTGCTGCTCATTTTGCCGGTTGTTCCGAGAGGCTGTTTTGTCCCGAGGCACCTCTGACTTCATGTCTATCTGCAAAGGGACCCACTTGTGTTTGTTGCCTGCAAAAGGACAGGATTTGAGTGTGACTCAGGTTCAGAGAACAGATGCTTCCATCCCACAGCCTCTTCCCTCCACACATCCCACCCAACTGTGGGGGAAGCAGTAGGGCTGACCTCTCCTCAGTTATCCCCCAGGGCCTTGCTGTCACCAAAACTCTGTAAGGGGCATAACGAGAATGCTGACAGACTCCAACTGAGACTCTTGGGCACGGAGAAGCATAATACAAAACTCCACTATGGCTTCATGCACTTGTCCTTCCTTTCCCCCCTTTCCACCCACTAAGGCTCAGGCAAAAGCAAGCCCACGCAGCAACCATAGCTGATGCAATCCACAGCCAGGAGCTCTTCTGTGTCACCACGGAGTATACTTAAGGAGGCAGATCACTGCCAGATTCCCTGGACAGACACACAGGTGCCCACACCTAGGCCCTGCTTCACATGCTTTCCTACATATTGCAAGATGCTGCTGAACAGAGCAAGGCCACTCCAGACCAGGCCCTTACAAATTCCCCAAGTGGCTATCCAAGCGCTCAGCATCTGCCTGAGCCTCTCCAGTTACCAAAATGAGACTTTGCTCTGTTGAAGCTTGCAAATACCTTTTCACTGCAGCTGTCAGCATGCTGAGACTGCAGCTGGTCCCACAGTTTTGGACACTTCCACCCAGCTTTGGGTCACAGAAAGGAAGACAGGCTGAGCCGGGGGGACTGTCCCTGCCAGGAGTCTGCCATGTCCTGCCTTACCTTTCTTCTTCTGGGCTGACTTCTGGTTGTCATCGTCACCGTTCTTCTCCTCACCAGACTCATCTGATTTGGTTTTCAGGCTCTCTTTGCCATCACTTCCATCCCCTTTCTCCTGTTCTTTCATGTCTTTCTTGATAGGCAGTTTCCGGAGGGATGGTGCTTTGTGTGGCTGCTGGAGACACGTTAGTGCAGGAAAGATGTGAGGGTCATGAGAAACTAAAGAGTTGGAGGCAGAGCCCAGCAATACTAGTGGGAGCAGGAAAAAGAGGACCTGGCCCTATGCTGGAGGCATCCCTGCTTCACGCTGCCCAGAGCTGTCTGATTCCTGGGGACAGACTTGTGTTTGACCAGGGTAAGGAGCTCCACAGATGCTGGGAAGTGCTCCAGCTAAGACACAAGTCCCAGGCACAGACATTACAAGACGAGAGGGACTGCCAAGAGTCCTGATGCTCCTGGACAGGTAGGTGTGTGGCAGGGTTCTATAAGGGACCAACTGCCACAGGAGCAAGAGGGACAGTGACCCTAGTGACCTGACAGTCAGCCAGGAGTTGGTGAAGCAGCATCCCAGAACAGAAAGGTTTCAACACCACCCATGTCTGGAGCAGAAAAGAAAGGCCATTCCCCTGTGTCTTTTCTTGCACATGTTTTCAGCTTCCCTAGAGAAAGTCTTGGCAGTTGCTCAGGTTCCTTTTAATGCACTGAGCAGCCCTGAAGACAGCAGATCTGGGAGCTGCTATACCTGCTCCACCAAGCCCAGGGCTTTAGACTAGCCTCCAGGCTCCCAGAATAGCATGCAGGGAGGGAGCCCAACATGCAGGGCAGCCCTAAAAGGCAAACCCCTGCACCCAGCATGCTATTCTTGGCTGCCCTCATGCTGGCACTCAGCACCCCCAAATGGCCTGGCTCAGCCAGAGCTTCCAGTGACACAGAGGAACAGGGAGGTCTGCAAGGGCCTGCTCATCCAAACTAGCCCCTGAAGCTGTTACCTGGGAGAAACAAAGAATGCAATTGTCTGCCAAACACACAGCCTCTCTGGGCACACTACAATGGAAGCAAATTACTGCAGCTCAGCCAGATGCAGTGTCTGAGGATTTTGTCTTCTCACCTGGACACTCTTGTGAGCTATTTCTCCAGGTGTTGGCCAATTTGTAGCATCACCGAAGTCACCAACCTTGTATACAAAAGAGAAAAGTCCCATTAGTGTGCTAACTATGAATGCCATTTTCTAGAGCACCAGTTAGAAGCCCTCCCAGCTACAATGTCACTGCCATTATCCACTGGTACACCACACAGCTGTTCCCAAGAGGCTTGGGCATGACACCCACAGCACCACTAGAGCCTTTTCTCCCCACTCTAGTAGGACCCCTGACTTAATCCTCAATAACTGCAGGTAAATTTACATCTGTCAGAGATTGTTACGAAGCTGCCAACAGCCCTGTAAGCTCCCAGCTCCCACTTAGCAGAGTGTATGGCACAAAGCTGCCTGAGGTAACTCACATAGTCCTCATCCCTTGGACAGGTAAAGAATGCAACTTTCTGCACACTTAATTCACCTAAAGCAATCACATACTATCAAAGAAGCTGCCTTGACCTACTGGTACATTACATCCAGGTTTAGTTTCATTTATGGGACCAACTGCCAGTGTTGAAAACCACAAAGCAAAAGGACCATGTAGCAATTGGTGAAGAGGAAAAAAAGTATAATAAGCAGTTATCTGGTGGTGATACTAGCTCTATTTCAGAAATCCCACTGTCACATGGGAGGATCACCAGTCTCTTCCACTCAAGAAGTGACCTGGCCAATATAATCATTATCACCTCCTCCAGCTTTCAGAGAAGACAAGGAAAGAACCCAAAAATCAGCTGCCTTGGCATACAATGAATCATGGCTCGTCACTGAATTTACAATGATCTGGGCACAGACACTCCTCCTTGTCCTTGAGGGGACTATTATTCCTAAGTTAATTTGTAGCCAAGTTGCCCATATGATCAGGACTCTGGGTTCAGGTGCCATGTTTCTCTCCCTTGGAGGCAAGTTTCCTGGGAAAGCCACTTGCAGTGTACAGCCATGCCTGTTTCACAGACAGAAGCACCTTTCACAACCAAAGCCCTGCTTCCTTGAGACGGGACAAGGAAGTCACATCAAGTTTCAAATGCATATTCAGTGGCTGCTGGGACAACACCAACAACCACATCCCTAGCCGTGCTTCAGCTGCACCCAACATCCTCAGAAATAACTGTCTCTCCATCACAGGTTGACTCCCTGGAACAGATTGCCCTGGTTCTTCCCGAGAAGTTGCTTTGTTTGAAGTCAATTACCCTTGCTCTCTGTGTACCAGTAAAGAACAGGCTGGAGAGGGAAGAAAAAAAACTTGCAGATACAAGCTTTCGACATCCAGCACTATGTTGTGAACGATCCCTTCAGGCAGGGAGGTGAACCAGGTCTCCCCCAGCCCAACTGGGCAGGAACCAGTCCCCAGAGCATGAAAATGTCAAAATGCTTAAAAGAAAAACGAGGACATTCTCCTGCACGCTCTGTGCTGACAGCCAGTTCACTACATCAATGCCTCCACCACCACATTTGCAAAGGAAGCTGTCTCCTCACCAGACCCTCAAGGCACTCACACAGCACTGACATCTGAATTAGAAGCTAGAAGCCAGTGAGGGGCACAGCAGGCACAGACTTACCTTGCTTCCCTTGCGCTGTCTCGGGTTGGCAGCCCTCACCACTTTAGCAGGAGTTGTGTTTTCTGTAAAAGGAGGAGAATAAAACTCTTAAACACAGCTGACAGTCATGGAAGCAGAAAGCAAGCCACCTCCCTATTCAGCACAGCAAGGCTACAAGGGAAAGCTGAACAGAAGAGAGCCAGCTTTGGACCAGAGTTTCACAGAGGCCTACCAAGATTACGTGGAGGTGCACTGAACACAGAGCTCTACTGCAGCACTGTGTGCAGATACGGGGTGAAGCCACATAATTAAACCTGCCACTCCAGATTAATACAGGTGACTGATGCTCCGAGAAGATGGGTCCTGAACTCTGCCCCTCTGCAGGAAGGCACTCCCGCACCTAGCTCAGCCCTCCCCTCTTGGCCTTGCCAGTCAAGGAGGAAGGGTGGTAAAGAGTTCAGCTTGTTCCATGAGGCACCATACAGAACTCAATCTGCTGTTACTCACAGCAAAACAAACATGCCCTTGAAGAGGCGAGGCAGCTCTCCATGCCGACACAGCTGGCTCCACACAGCAGAGGGCTGTGGACGTGTACCCACGTGGCCCAGCCCACAGCACATGGACACCGCTCATGTCGTGCCTTGCTTTGATCTCTGGTGCATCCCAGCACGGGGCAGCAAGTTCACAAGAAGGAACACACAGAGACGGAGTCAGATCTAGGAAGGGCTTAAACCCCACTGCAGCCAAGAGTATTTAAATAACTGAGTGCCTCTGGGGTAATTTAAGGTTCAATACCCTGAGCCCTGCCTGGAAAAAGAGCTGTCAAAACTGACCCTGCCAGAACAGCAACGTGGGGTCAAGCTGCTGCACCAGTCCCAAGGAAGTTGGAACAAGTTTCAACCTCTGCAGCCTTGCAGGACTTTGGTGCAGGTCTTAACACCTGTCTTGCAGGGCATGCTGGCTGCTGTAGGCTCTGCACTACAGCAGAGCCCACTGCTGTGCACTGCCAAACAGCCACGCTGGGCTCACCACTGAGGCAGCCCCTCCAGCATCAACTCCACTAAATTTGTTGGAAACAAAACCTTCCTCACTGGGGTAGGGAGGAAAGTGAAGAGAAGAGGCCCAAGGAATTGCAGGGCCTATCTGGGGACACCCCGGGAAACACCATGAATAGCCTACTTAACTCCATTCAAAGTTGGCTTTGATCTGCTGCAGAAGACAGGTTGACTTTGCCTAGATGATCAAAACCGGTATCCTTCCTTGCCTCAAAACTTATGATTCATCCTGCTGGCCCAGCCTTGCTCAGAGCTGGAGACTTTGAAGTGTCAATAAAGCAGAGCCAGACATGGCAGAATGGAGCCATCTGCACTCCCCCACCCCAGCTCCCTTTCATAAGGCTCCCACAGGGGGATTTCACCCCAGGGACAGCCCAAGCTCTCCGCCATGCCCCCAAACCTTTCCCCTTTTCTACCAGGAGTTTCTCAGCCTGCCTGCACTGCTTCAACCACCAAACAGTGGCAATCCCACATGTGTCTCATTCATTCCACGTGCATCTCATTGAGAATCCTGGCTCCACAGCACAAAGCTTGCCACAAGGCTTTTAAACTTCCCTTCCTTAAAACAGCGTAGGAAGAAAGAACGCTTTCAAAACAGTCCCTAAAAATCTTCCACTCAACACCCACAGGTGTCACCAACTAAATATAGCTTCCAAATGTACAAAGTGCTACAGCATAAGCCTGCCGCCAGCCCGGTTTACACAGGTAGGGAGCACCAGCCTGCTCTGACAGCACCAACATACCTGGCACTACTGAAAAAAATCATAACTGAGCTCACTTGGCAGCCTGGCTGCGCACAGATCACTTGGCTGGAGCAGAGCAGGGCTCCTGGTCCCAGCGCACAGGCCCCAGCCGTTTGCCTGCTCCCACCTTGCTGCAGCCCAGAGGTGACGATGATGGCATCCTGCTGTTTTCTACAGCTGCTCTCCAAGCATCAGAGGATTTTGTGCACTTTTGGGAGAGGGTAAATAAAGGTAGGCTCTCTGCACCTCCCCAGGAAACAGGAGGGCAGTGCAGGGGTGCCAGCAGAGGATTGGGTGCTGCAGCTTCTGTCATCTTTACGGATGAAGGAGTAGATGATTTAAAACAAGTTCTGCTAGTTTCCTTATTGGCAAGATAGGAACAGGGATGCCTTATCTAGCCAAGGTGCTGAGAAGACTAATTAGCATTTGCAGAGCGCAAGGGAAGACAAAACACACCCGGTAGAGCACTGCAGCAGCACAGGCACTGCAGCCTGGCGGGAGATCGATCCTGGGCACACAGCCAGCCCAGCACACAGCAAAGGCTGCGGCTGCTCCTGCCAGTGTGGAGAGCTGCGACCCATCGAGAGCTTTGATGGAGATGAGGGCTGCCCAAATGAAGGCAGGAGAACAAGGGGGTGGGAGAGTGCAAGCAGACAGACACACCATCTGCAGAGCCACATGTGCTCGGCCTCCTCCAGGGTGAGTCAACCTAACCCTGGACCTCACCTCCAATCCAACACATTTGCTACAGTGACGCTCCTTTACATCACATTAAAAATTGCTCTCCATGTTCCCTTGCAGAGACTCTAGCAAACAAAAAATCCAACGCACCCAGAGCACATTGAAGCTAACCCTTGTGGTCAGGTTTCAAATGGAAACCTTCACACAAGGACAACACCACAGCTTGCAGCACTCAGCAGAAAAGGCCCCCTGTCAAACAACACTGAGACAAAACTCTGCTGCTCTCCACTACAGTATCAGTTTGATGAATGGGGAACAGCGGGGTGCATCTCACCCATGTGCAGGCACCCAGGACAAGGAGTGCTAATGAGGGATACTAGCTACCGCCCTGCTGGATCGCTGAGCAACGAAGAGCTGCTGACAGCTATCTATCACAGAAGTCACAACACTCTCTGGGTGTTATAAGAGGAAAAAAAAAACAAACAAAAACAAAATAAGAAAACTACGGTAACTTTTCTTGTTGTTCTTGTTGTTGGTTTTTTTTTTTGTTGTTGTTTTTTTTTGTTTTTTTTCCAAAAGGCCTTTCCATTTTGGTTCTTGGGGACATGTAAAGCGTGAGTGGAGCATCCCTGCAGGGCCGTGCTCTGTCCCCATGCAGCACAGCAATGGTGCCAAGGAGCACAGGTGGCAGGGTATCAAAGATACTGAGGGAGAATGAGGAGTGATGTAGCAGCCCTGCCATGTGTCCTGCAGGCACCAACAGACTGCCCTGAAGGCCAGGCTGGGGGCACCCCAGTCCCATGGAGGTGGCAGCACAGCAGCTTCTTGCTGAGCTGGGCAGAGCAGGGGGACTGAGTATAAACACTGGCTTTGCTGAAAACTAACTGAGCACCCAAGGGAACAAAGCAAACCACCCTCCCTCACCACTCCACAGGCCATGCAGAGTCTGCAGGCTTTAGCTTTTTGATGTAAATACTACCAAGAGATTGTTCTGTTTCACAAATCTCATTTTGCACTTATTTGGTGGCAGTAAAAAACATTCAGTTGCATCAGTACTGCTTGAAAACCCAAACCAGGCTCCCGTGTGCTATGGAATGCCCAGGACAGCAGCAGGGGCAGCCAGTCTGTTAGCTGTGCAAGACTGGTAAGGGGACAGAGGCCAGCGAAGGAAGCAGTGGTTTGCCTGAGATCTGAGAGCAGATACTAACACTGCCAGGAATTGAAAGTTTTGATCCCAAACACTACCTGCAGCCTTCTGCCTTCTTTCTGCTCATTCTCATCCCAGCAGTATGACTTCAACAGGAGCACTGGGGTCTTAATGGTATTGCTGCCAAAGTCCTCCCAAGGCCAAAGAGTTTTCTGTTTTTTAACACTGTCTGTAGCACCTGATGAACACTGTAACTGGTAGGGCTGTGAGAACGCTTGTCTTTTCCTTTCAGACCACAGCTGCTACAGTAAGCAGTCCTTTCTGCAGGCATTAGGTCAAGAAGGGGGCAACCAGTTGAGCAAAGACCTCGTATGTGGAAGCACAACAGCCACTGCACAATGAGCAGGGAGCAGCACAACAGCAGCTCTGCAGCCACATGTGCTCCCCAGTGAGGGACTGTTGTGCATGGCCAGAGACATATTTACTGCCTTATCTGGGGAAATCAAACCCTACACCAGCAAAATCAGCTCCCTGCTGATTGTAATGGATTTTTAGAGAACACAGATGAGAGGCTGAAAAAAATCTGCAGGGCTGGGGCGGGACAAGGGATTATGCAGAAGAAATATCTGCTTCTCTAGCAAGAAAGCTGCAGTGCCTGCTGCTGGCACACCACTCAGGTGCAGCATGGACACTACAGTTGGGACAGCCTCTGGAAGGACAGCCAATGCTTGCAACTCCCAGCAGGAATTTGGAGTCCTTCAGGGCTCTGCATGTGCTCCAGCCCTAAAACAGCACACATCCCTCCTTTGCCTGGGATCCAAGTCAACAGAAGGAAGCAGTTCTGCTCCTGAGCCCTGCTAGTCCACAGCCTGGCATCTAGGCAAAACTGCTGATGAAGGTGGTTTTTCAGCCAAGGGCTTGGACTTTGTGCTGGAGAGACAGAGGCTCTGTGCTGCAAATCCTGCTGGGGCAGGAGACAAGCTGGAAGCCACAGATTCCCCAGAGCACCGGATGATCAGCCCACATGCCTCATGGTCTAACAGGATCCATGTAACTATTTTGCAGGGATGAGTCTCCAGACTGTTCTCCCTCCTCCCCATGTTATGCAGGATGCTGCTGTGCATACCAGCCAGGTACTGCAGCCCATCCCTTTCCTTATGAGACAGCAGCTCTGGCAGTGCTGCTCAGAGGTCTTCAGGTGAGCAGCTGAAGAGAGCAGTTTGAGCAAGGGGAGCTGAGCACTAAATGTGTCTGAGCAACTTGCAAAGGAGAGAAGAAACTCCTAGACTGCTAACACTGGGAGGAGAAGACACTGCTTTATCCTCCTGAGAAACCAAGAGACGACTACTTGATCACACTATTTTTGTATAAAGACTCATTTTCAAGACACAGAAAGTCAGCAGGAGTACCAGCAGCTTCCCCCAGAGGTAGTTTCCTCCTTTAGTTTTCAGAGCACG